GCTGCCCAGGCTGCTTGGAATTCGGTGACCCGACAGCCTCCAGCTGTCACTTCCATCAGGGTTTCCCTGAACTGTTGGCCACATCTAAGCACATACCTTCCCTTCCAACTACTGATAGTATGTTTGTGGTCATTGTGGGACAACTCTGACTGGGGGTGGTATGTGCTCTAGGACTCCCTATGGCATTTCCTGAGGCTTTGGGGAGAATACATCTCATTTGCACTCCAATTCTACCTCCTTCCCTTCCAACAGGAAGTTGGTCCCTAATAAACATCATTCATCCAAAGCCCATTTCAGCTTCTGCTTTCACGGAACTAACTGGAGACAAATATTAACAAGTTTATTGAATAAGACACATTTGTGATTTTTCACCTCCTTTACTAATCAGGCAAGAGCTAGAATACAGATGGATGGATGGATGGATGGATAGATGGATAAATTTTATTTTGTTTTTTCTATCTATATCTATTTACCCATATCTATAATTATATTGGTTTTTACTCTGCTGTCATTCTTTTCTTGATGTAGGAGAATCCTGGGCTTTTCCAGCCATTGTCTTCTCCAAGAACTAGCATCAGTAAATTACGTATAGAATCAGTACAATTACTCATTCATACATTTAACAAACATTTAGTGAGTACCTACTCCAATGCTAGCCCCTTTGAGTTCCTAGTGCCTAAGCATAGAAAGTATATGAGACATACTTTCTGTTCTCTAAGGAATTTCATCTAGTGTTGAAGAAAAACATTGGCAAAGGCTAGAACAGAGAAATCAGCGATTATAGTGATGGGACAAAGTAGCGAGTGATTACTTAGGCTTTTGTAGGGCAGGAGAAGCCACACAGCAAAAGGTTTTTCAGGATGTAAAGGTGATTAAGTTGTAAACAGGGTGGCATTATAGCTTTTCCCAGCACAGGGAACAACGTGGTGCAAGACTTGAACACATGAAACAAATCAGCACCTTTGGGGACATTAAGTCTTTAGCCTGACAACAGCCTCTCTCACTGTTCAGTCTTTCAATAGACCCGTCTCTTTCCATGAAACACTGTTGGCCCAGTAATCTTGGTTCTACATCATGGCTAATTTCTCTCAGCTATTTGGGGTAATATCATGAAGGATTTTTGTTAAATGTTCACTGTTATTATGGCTATCTCTTTAGGTACCAGCAAAACATCTCAAGAGTCTTTATTTCACAGTCCATTTTACAAGGGCTCCTGTAGTGGTCAGGAACTCCTTTGTTTCTGAAGCCTTTTGAAATCACAGACTAATCCAAACAATACCTACTTATCAGTACAAATATTTTATCTTTTGTTAGCTGGCACTGGGCAAGAGCAATTATAGGGTCATCTGAACTGATTTAATTTCTGCGAGAAGCTTAAATTTCAAGGGTAAATTCAAGTCTGTGATAGCCTGCTTGGCAATTTTTAGTTTTTAAGTATGAGCCGTTACAAAATTAAATCAGGAATACTCAAAGGAGTCTCTATGGGACATGGAGAGTTCCCTGTTAAGGGTTAAGTCATCACAGGGTGCTCTCTTTTCAGGTAAAGGAAGGAGAGTGGTTGTGTTAGTGTCACAGTGATATGGGAGGGAAATACAACAATATTTTAAAAGATGAAGTGACTAGCTGTAAAGTGATGAACATTTACTATCAATAGAAAGAGACTATATAGCACAGGAACCATTAAGGTTAATGGAAAATCTTAAAACAAAATCAGTTGATGTTTTTACACGTTACTGTTGCTGTCACACTTTTGGACAAGGTGGCTACGTTTTGGCTACTTAGTGAAATGCTGAAATGAGCTATAGGCTTCGAAAGATTACCATGGATTTGTGTTAATACCACTAGTGTTTATTCAGACTTTGTATGAACCAAAAGGGAAACAGGAATTGAGAATCTAGAATCCTGGAGAACACTTTAAATATATATATAGATATATATATATAGATAGATAAGATATATACACATTATATGTATATGTGTATATATATATATTTTTTTTTTTTGATGGAGGAACTGGGATTAAACCCAGGACCTCATGCATGCTAAGCATGCACTCTACTACTGAGCTATATCCACCCCCCGGAAAGAACATTTTAATGGGCAGTTGTTGTACTAATCTTTGTGCTTATACATGAGCATATAGTTGTTTTTTCTTAAATTTGTATCCAATCATAGAAAGTATTTTTATTTAAGGAAGACATTTTACCTAAGTATAATTTTCCTAAGAAGATAAACTTTTTTTATTGTCAGGGTTTTTTTTTTAATCCTAAATTTGTTAAACAAAACTCATACAGGTTTTGAATTAATTAAAATTTGGAGAATTTTACACAAACCTAAATATTCCTGTTTCCTTTTCTTTTATTGAGTAATGGAGCCAGTCTTTGTGCTACCTACAAGTCAGGGAACTTCTGGCATAAAAGGCATCTTAGCAGTTTTATTATTCTGAATTTGAGGACTGAATTTAGGAAAGGCAACATCGAGAGTGATTAAGGAGACAGATTCATAAATAGCTAAAGACAAAACAATTTTCAGTAAAATTGTAAAATCACAGCAATAAGCAAAAATTGTTGCTAGGAATTTAACTTTTTTTCAAAAGTAAGAACTCTTGAAAAATGATTTAAAACTATGTCAAGAAACACCAGGAGTTAGCAAAATAATTTGGTGACTTCCACTGGTCTGTTCATAAAATAACTTTTTAATTTTATAGAAAAAAAGATCCAAATTCTAATTTTACTTCTTTTGTATATTATTCATGTAACTATTTGAAGTAAAAGACTTATTGATATATGATATACCTTAATATGTATTCAATCCCACATACATAAACAGATACATGTATATAAATAGATATTAATTTGAAGCCTTTAATTATAGTTTTTTTTTACTTTATTCTTTTTTTTTTTTAGGTTTTTTTTATTTCGGGGGAGGTAATTACATTTATTTATTTGTTTACTTTTTTAGAGGAGGTACTGGGGATTGAACCCAGGGCCTTGTGCATGTTAAGCACACACTCTACCACTTGAGCTATACCTTCCCCTATAGTTTTAAAATATAATTAACTTAGTAATAGAGTAGATAAAATGTATATAGGATAGTAAATTTGCCATCTAAACAAACTATAACTTTCTTAATGAAAACAAAATCATATGCATTATCATTGCATATATATTTGTTTTTTAAAAACTTTATTGTATTTACTGTAATTAAACAATTATATTGTTGTATTTAACCAAAGTAACCAACTTTTTTTCTTCAGACACAAAAGAAAACTAGAAAATTGAAAACCAAACGTGTTTTTCTCCTTTAGCTCTTATTCCATATAATTGTATCAAATTTGAGGAGACAAAAATAAATAAGTTGTGTGTGTATGTGTGTAATACCATTTCAATGTATTTGCAAATGTTAATGTACTGTCAGTTTAAGCAAGAAGGTAACTTAAAATTGTTTAGTGGCCAATTTTTCTGTTTCTTTTTTAGAAGCTGTCTCGGCATCCAAAGATTA